AAATAAATAAAGTCTTTGTATTGCTGTAGTCACTTCAGTTTTTTAATAAAAGGAGTTATGTAATTGTTAACCCTTAGATTTGAGCCTTTGTTTTGTGCAGGGCAGCATCTCTCCAAGAATAAAGAGCTGTCATTTTTAATTCCACAATATTGTATGCAATTCTTCAATTGCCTTGGGTTTTTGTGCCACTAGAAACTTGATGCCTCCTTGGGATGATCGTGTATGCAAAAAACAAAACAACTAACAACCTTGGCTTTCTGTATTCCAGACTCCTTCCCCTTCTTTTATGCTTTCATAATTGTATATTTGTGATAAGACACACCCAAATATGACAAATTTCACATGAATAAAATATTCATGCCTTGACTATTCATCTAGTTTGGAGGTACCCCATTTGTCTTGTTTCATACTCCAGTGAAACCATGAATCTGTTTTAGTAAATTCAAGAGCTAATACTAAATTTTCACATACTGAGAAAAAAAGTTTTACATTTAAGAAAGAAGGGCTCTCTGAATTAAGCATTTTTCACTCAATAGTATCTATAATAGACACTCTTCTGAATTCTTAGAGTTGGAATACTATTGGCAATAATTGGAATAAACTCTATAGAACACTCATGCCCCCTAGAGGATTGAGAGAATGAATATGGAAATTTCAACAATACCTTGTTCACAGCTGTTGATCAAAACTCAAAGGGTAGAAGTGTCAGCCCATGAAAGCTGTGAGAGTTCGTCCAAGGAGGTGTCTACAATCATATACCAAGAGAAATTTTTTTCTTCTTTGGTAGGACTCGGGAAATATAAACAAGTGCTCAGAAAGACATACCTTTAACACCAGTCCAATGCAGATTTTTTGTATGTATAGTAGAAACTCCATAGTTGATCACCTTCCAACAGTGACCACCTTAAATTGACCTAATTTCCGTAGACTCAATATGTACCACATGTATGTATCAGTACAGTGGGCCTAGTTTCTTATATTGATCACCTCCGTATGTTGAACAGTTATAGTCTATGAGTGGTCAATTTACTGAAGTTCCACTGTATTTTTAAAGTTCTAGAGAGGTAACACCTTATCTCCTTCTCTTTCTTTTAGTCACCAATTTCTTAGCTCTGATTTGCATTTCTCTTGTCTCCTCTAATTTTTTTCCTTTCTATCTTCTCTCCTAACTTATATCTTGCTGCCCATTTAGGGACCTTTTGTGATCAGAACACACACAGAGGTCCCTGGCCACCATATTTTAAAATATCTCTTCCCTTGTCAATTTAAGAAACTGTTTGTTGGGTCGGCGCCTGTAGCTCAGTGGCTAGGGCGCTAGCCACATACACTAGAGCTGGTGGGTTCAGATCCAGCCCGGCCTACCAAACAACAATGACAACTACAACCAAAAAAAATAGCTGGGCGCTGTGGTGGGTGCCTGTAGTCCCAGCTACTTGGGAGGCTGAGGCAAGAGAATTGCTTAAGTCCAAGAGTTAGAGGTGGCTGTGAGCTGTGAAACCACAGCACTATAGAGGGCAACATACTGAGACTCTGTCTCAAAAAAAAAATAAAAAGAAACAATTTTTGAGTTAAATACCCTGATTTAACTGTTATAAAACCAGTGTCTAAAATATGTTTTGCTGACTATTCTATTTAACAGAAGGAACACACAGACAGATATAGTGGTTTGGTTTTTGAGACTGAGTCTTACTCTGTCACCCTGGCTAGTGTGCCGTGGCGTCATAGTTCACAGCAACCTCAAATTCCTGGGCTCCAGCAATCCTCTTGCCTCGGCTCTCCGAGTAGCTGGGACTACAGGCACCCATCGTAATGGCGAGGTAGTTTTTCTATTTTTAGTAGAGACAGGTCTCTCTCTTGCTGAGGCTGGTCTGGAACTCCTGAGCTCAAGGGATTCACCCTTCTCCACCTCCCAGAATGCTGGGATGACAGGCATGAGCCGTGGCGCCGCAGCCTCTTATTCTTTAAGATCTGCCCTAGTTGTCATTATATGATGGAATGGAACTAATCCTTTATTTTCCATTTTTATTCTAGATAATTATCCATTTGGTATTATATGATTGAGTCATTCTAAGTAACTACAAGTGTTCATAATGTTAGGTAGTAAAAATATTCCTGTCTTAATAATCAGAGCATCATCTCTTCCTTTGATCTCTGCTGCCATACTTTTCATTCAGACATGAAAAAACAAATGCCACCTCTTTGATCTTTGGGCTAGACTGCAGAATCAGAATCAAATTTACACAACAGATTCTCTTGCCAAGAAAACTATTATTTCCTTCTGAAGTAATTATGTCCTTTTGCTCTGAAGAGATGAAATCTGAATCTCGGTCATTTATAAAGTTATAAGAATAAAGGATCATACAAAGTCTAAATCCCTACCATAAGAAAATCCCTATCCCTTTACAGAGAATTTAAAAATATATGTATGGCTCGCATAATATTTCTGTATTTCCTTCAGATGGAGCTTATAGAGATAAAATAGGAGGGGTAAAGCAGAACCTATAAAAATATAACTGTTTTTGGTCTAATTTTTAATTTCAAAAATAGGGCTGGGTGCAGTAGTGGCACACACCTGTAATCCCAGCACTTTAGAAGGCTGAGGTGGGAGGATCACTTGAGGCAAGGCCTTTAAGACTAGCCCAGGCGGCTTGGCGCCTGTGGCTCAAGCGGCTAAGGCACCAGCCACATACACCTAAGGTGGCGGGTTCAAATCCCCAGCCTGGGCCCGCCAAACAACAATGATGGCTGCAACCAAAAAATAGCCGGGCGTTGTGGTGGGCGCCTGTAGTCCCAGCTACTTGGGAGGCTGAGGCAGGAGACTCGCTTGAGCCCAGGAGTTGGAGGTTGCTGTGAGCATGATGCCATGGCACTCTACCCAGGGGGATAGCTTGAGACTCCGTCTCAAAAAAAAAAAAAAAAAAAAAGACCAGCCCAGGCAACATAAAAAGACCTGATCTCTATAAAATATAAAAATGAATTAGCCAAGTATTGTGGCAGGTGCTGGTAGTCCCAACTACTTGAGAGGCTGAGGCAAAAGGATCATTTGAGCCCAAGAGTTTGAGGTTGCTGTGAGCTATGATGCCATGGCACTGTACCCAGGGCGACATAGTTTTACTCTGTCTTTAAAAACAAATAAATAAGTGAAGATTTCAGACAGACATCAGTAGCAGTTAACACGTGTGACAAAGCCAGTTTCCCAAGATAGAAGATCATTATGATCTATATCTGTGCTCTCGTTTGAACATTAAGGTAATTTTTTTTTACCAAAATAATGTCTATCTTTATGTTTAAACTTAGTTATCTGTACTTGTTTTCTGTCCTTATTTCTAACAGACAAAAATTGGATCAGGAAAGCTGATGGGGCCCAAGGGTGTTTCTGTGGACCGAAACGGGCACATTATTGTGGTGGACAACAAGGCATGCTGCGTGTTTATCTTCCAGCCCAACGGGAAAATAGTCACCAGGTTTGGTAGCCGAGGAAACGGGGACCGGCAGTTTGCAGGTACACTCGACGGTAATATGTAAACCCCCTTTTTTATGCCTCTTCTGCTCACATTTGCATGATGTCGGAGCATGTTGAAGACATCGCATCCCCAGTGTGTTTGCTGGCTTTGGGAAAGACACTGGGGACGAAATCTAAGCAAAAGCATGGTTAGATGCTTCTCAGTTTCCCTCCCGCAGTAAGTTGAATTGCAACCCATGCACGGTTTTTATTGGTAGATGTGTATTCGGAAGTGCAGTCTTTAAATGTTCATATTAAACAAAATATAAATTTTAAAATAGAATGTTTTTGAGATATAAATATTTGAGGAACAATGGAGTAACTCCTATTATTCCTCAACATACCTTTATTTAAAGAACGTCTGAATGGGCATTTTTTTCCACCTTTCTACCTTATTATAAGAAAACAAGAATTCAGAATATTTGCTGAGCACAGGGAGGGCAGTCTGTTTTACTGCTCTTTTTGGCATACCACTTTGCAATCACAAGCTTATTTAACTTTTCACATCTGCAGGAAAAGGCTGTAAACAATTACTGCTCTTTTTGAAAGGATGCTTTCGGCATTTAACATTGATTTGCATAATATTTCTTTGTGCTTTGTCTCCAGTTCTGCCAAGTTCTGAATGTCACCCAAAATCATAAAAGTGTGGGTTTTCTGCTCAATTTTTAAAAATTACATATTGGAGTCTCTTTTCAAATGCTAAGAATTGTTAAGTCTTTCCTTCCTCAGTGGGAACTGAGAGCCCTGAAACACATTTTCAGGGAAGCTGGCAGGTGTGACTTTCAGATGGTGGTACGGAGAATGAATTCTAATGCTTATTGCTCATCTACTTCATTAGGGCTGCTAGAACTCTTAGCTTGATCTGGAAGAAATCAGAGGAGAGAGTCACAAGTATAGAATCATACAGGATCTCTGTTATTTGGAGCCAGAGGTCTGACTGATTTTCTGAGGACAGACTCTATTGTTCTTTATTTAAATAACTAAGTAAATATATTGTTTGTTTTTTGTTACAGTAACTGCTATGTTGTTATAATCACTTTCATTGTTGTAGTCATACTTATTTTTTTTTTCCATCTTTATTTCAGGTCCCCATTTTGCAGCTGTAAATAGCAATAATGAGATTATTGTTACAGATTTCCATAATCATTCTGTCAAGGTACTATAAGCACATCAATTATTAACTTTTAAATGCTTTTGTGGAGACATCAGTCTGGGAGAAAGTAATACTTACATATATGCACAGGACCAAAGAAAGTTAATTAAAAGAGTAGATTTTGTTCCAACTTAAAGAGACAGGTTTTAATTTGGACATACAGACTTGGGAGAGTCAAGAAATTGTACAACATATAGTGGTAATACATTTTTTAATTTGAAACCATATGAAGAGGACTTGAAAATAAAATTTTAAAAAAAACAATTGTTTGAACTTGGAGGCAGAACCTCCTTGATGCTTACTAGTTTGTGGCTATTCAATAAATTAAAACAAAATCACTTCTTAAATTTTCTGCATCAAGGCTCGGCACCTGTGACTCAAGTGGCTAAGGCGCCCTCCACATA